AACTCATTCTTCAGTAAAATGCGATAAGAACTTATAAGACTATGATTGCATCATCATTTACTAGCTCCTCTTTAACTTTGTAATAAACTGTGTGAAAACATGTAAGCGAAAATGGAGAACTAATCTACCTTTAAAGTTTGTTGATAATCACAAACATCTGGGAATGTATCTAAGAAAACTTCTTGACTGGTCACTACATGTTAAAGAAATGTGCAGATAGTGTAACTACATTCTCTACCTAATGCGAAGAAACAAACATATTTTGAGTACATCCACTCTCGATCAAATTTTTAAATCTTATGCTATGCCAGTAATATCTTATTCGGACACAGTTTATGGTGGTTCTCGGGTTAAGGTCTACGTCACATTGTTCATATGCGGACAGAAAAATTCAAAACAACATTCTTTCCTTTGATAGTTAGGCAGTGGAATGAGTTACCTGTTGAATTGTATCAAACTGTTAAATTCACTCGCTTTCGTTCAAAGATACATGATTTTCTGCATCCATATTACAAATGGCTACGGTTCAAACACGTTAACCGATAGCAGGAAATGCGTTTTAATCAAATGCGTGTTGAATTCTCTCGATTGAATTTTGATTTGCATATTAGGCGCTTAGTAAATAATCAGTATTGCGCCTGTGGCAAAGTAGAAACAGTCAAACACTTTCTCCTGGAATGTTCACACTATCGCCATTTGCGATCTAAGTTGAAAGATGACTGGCATAATATAGCACCTGGGTTAGCCTTCACACTTAAACACATTTTACTATCAGAAAAACTAGAAAACATTGATGACCTCACAATTACCCAGCTACATAAAATAATCGTACAGTATATCAAAAGTACCCAACGTTTCTGAGTACTACTTATCTCACTTTTGTTTTCTGAGACATACCATCAGGCTCTTATGCACCAGCTCTTCTTCATAGTTCGTTTCTTCGCTTTCAGATGCATCTGTTCCCTCATTTCGTTTTTCTTTTTTTTGTACAATGTAACATGAACAAAACAAAAGGCTATAATGGGTTCGCCTCTTTCTTCTTGTTCTGCTCTGGTTCATTAGTTTTTGTACACCACGTCATATTTATCAAATAAAGTTTATATCAACTAATCTACAAACCTAATAGGAACCGAATAGGAGGAAAGAGTAGATAACCAGTATAAGATATGCAGGTTCGGATTCTCCGCAGGGCACGACTTCTGTTTGAACGAAGTCGTGCCGTCCTCACATCAAATGGGTGAGAATGAACGTGCGGACGCAGCGCCCTAAACTGTCTTTTAATGTGGGTGTCTGGACTGGTCCGAAGCGTCCGAAAGTGAGACTTTGTCCACATCGTTACTTACCATGGACGTTCGTCCAATGCTAAAAATGATTCCTGCCTTTTACCTATCTTTTGTTTACCCGGATGACATGGTAGATTTAATCGTGTTTTTGTGTGTGACACAACAACTATATTTGTTGCCTTTTATCGTAGTGAAGGGTATTCATTCGCATTTGCAAGACATTGATGTTGCTTACCATGTCTGATCGCCTTTCTCTTCTGTATATGGTAAACACAAAGTCCATATCGTTTTCTGGTGATTTTAACCGAAAAGGTTTCGATCATTCACAGAATTTAGGCACTTTTTTCCCGCACAGATGCACAGCACTTCTATGTGTGTGTGAGAGGTTTATGTGTTAGTCACACTAGTAAGAAACAAATAAAAAAGAATTTTTCACGGGTTAGATATCAAAAAGTTCGTCACGAAAACCTCCTAATCCTTTTACATCGGCAGCTGATCATACAAATCGAACTGTAAACTTGTGTATCGTTGTTTAGGCATGATGAAAACAAATTTTCTTGTTAACAATCGCTTATGCTATTAGCTTACGTTGGAAATAAAATCAATTTTTTGATTCTTCGCTTCGCTTTTTTTTTTATAGAAATTCATATATGGTAACGTTCTTCTGGAAAGACAGTCGAGCCTACAGGATTGATGGTATTAAAACATCTAAACCATCCTATTTCAACGCTGAGAGAGGGAAAGAGAGGCAGTTACGTAAGTGGTAGTTTATTCATGGCGCACAAAAGCATCAATATTTGTGAATTTAGAAGAAATCAGTTAAACGGAGCACACTAAAAAATAATGTGTCGCATGTGTCGCAAATTGTGACATATTCTGCGACACAATCATCTGCGACACCGGGAGCCACTTGCGACACATTCCGCTGGGGATTTCTACCATAGAGAAAACAGTAGAAATTAAGTATTTTCGATCTCTTATTCAATTTTAAGAATATTTTTAGTTCATTTTGGTAGTGTCAACAAGCTCAATCCGCTGGTAATATTCACAGGCCTTCAAAATATTTATTTTCCGAGATCTGGGAGTAATGGCGTAGTCAAGGCCTCTGATTGGTTGTTTTTCATTAGAGAAAAAATGTTTAACGTAGAAAATAATTTAAAAAGACCAAGAGAGCGATCTTTATCCACTAAAAACACCAATTCCAGATTGAAAACACTTTGAAAGTTCGAAAATTTTCTTATCTTTTACGTATTAGCGCCACCTATAGCACACCAAAATTGAAAAGAAGCCGAGAAAAATACTAATGAAGACTGCTGAAAATAGTAAAACATAAAATTTAGCAATTTTTTGAAGAGAGCAGATCCTGAAATGACCTCAAGGACTGTGTCTGAAAGTTCTTAGTAACGGCAACACAACTATGCGACACAATTTTCTCACAGGAGCTGCGACACAAAATACGACACAATATTTTTTACTGTGAGTGCCACTAAAAAATAAAATAACAATAATGTTTAGAGCATTTAATACAAGGTCAAATAGATTAAATGTCCCTTAGTCGCTCTGTAGGTTAGAAATATAATTGAGTATCTGAGTCCATATAACCGACACGATGACAGAAAGTATTAGATCACGTTTGACGAAAATGATATGTCGGTGCTTGGTCTTTGCAAGTTTGTGTCGTTACTCGCTTTTCTCATTAACAGAGTGCATGGTGATATTAAATTAGAATCGGAGAATGGACAATTGACTGGTATTACAGGTGGTACGGAGACAAAAGGTCATTCTGGTAAAGGTTACGTTAAAGATTTCGATAATTCAAACAATAAACTAACATTTTTATTTAATCTTCCATCGAATACAACATCAGTCAATTTATTTTATGAAATTAAAATTCAATACAATTCACCATTTGGTGATAAAGGCTATGATTTGAAAATTAATACACAGTCAACCAGTGGCATGTTTATTGGTAATCAAAATAAATTTACACTACTATCTGTAGGCAAATATATGTTGAAATAAGGTCAGAACACAATAATTATTGCCAATGGTTGGGGTTACTTCAATATTGATTATATTCTTCTTATTCCTACTAAACAAGTCCAATTTAATATACGAAAAACACCGATTAATCAAAATGTTACATCGGAAGCAAAAGCTCTATACACTTATTTATTAAATAACTTTGGAAAAAAAATATTGAGTGGTCAACAGGATGATAAAAATGAAATTAATTATACTAAACAACATTCATCGGGAAAAGAACCGGCTGTTGTTGGTTATGATTTTATGAATATAAACTATTTTGGTAAAATGCGGCGGATCAAACAGCATATATGAAAAAAGCCATTGATTGGTATAAAACTAAGGGGAAGCTCACATTTTGTTGGCATTAGCGAAATCCATTTGGTATACCAAATAACTGACTCCCAGATCTCGGAAAATAAATATTTTGAAGGCCTGTGAATATTACCAGCGGATTGAGCTTGTTGACACTACCAAAATGAACTAAAAATATTCTTAAAATTGAATAAGAGATCGAAAATACTTAATTTCTACTGTTTTCTCTATGGTAGAAATCCCCAGCGGAATGTGTCGCAAGTGGCTCCCGGTGTCGCAGATGATTGTGATTTTATACGGACAAAGATAACGTTCATGTTGATTTGAATCAATTGTCAAATACAAATTCGAAAGAATATAAAACAACAAAAATAGTTTGTTAATAAACAATATAATAAATAGAGTTTAAATAGTTTATAGAATAAAACAACTTAAGAGATATTGATCATATTGTTATTTATTTGAAACAAGCACAAAAAACACAAGTACCCATTCTTTTTCGACCATTGCATGAAGCACAAGGAAGATGGTTCTGGTGGAGTAAGTGAATATCTGGGATTCACTTGTTTTAATAATACTCTCACAATTCACTATGTAGACTGATGTTTATCTGCCTCACATCTTGATATTGTATCAATAATAGGGCTGTGTAATATCTCAGTAGAAAAGATGACTGAATTCACTTTTTAATATCTAAAAAACCTATTAAACTTCAACATTAACCCTTACAACCGAAAACACTTTTATTATAGAGACTACTGCACTGCGTGTGGGGCTGATGTTTCATTCTTTTTATAAACCTGTTACATCAGTGTTCCTTGGAAGGAACTGGCAGATGCAAATTTATAATTTGAAGTTTCATCCATTTGAAATATTATTGCATGCGTACGGGATACATCTACATTTTCACCTTATTTACAATGTTATTTTTAGGTGAGCAAGGTCCAAGTCAAACGAAAACATTGTATCGTTTATTATATAATCGACTGACACATCATCATCATTTAAATAATCTTCTATGGATGTGGACGACAGAGTCAATAAATTCTGCTCTAGATTGGTATCCGGGTGATGATTTAGTTGATATACTTGGTATGGGTATTTATGAAGCACAAGGAGAACATAATTCACATTTACTTTCATTTTTTCAAAATGTTAAATAATTATATAATGGGAAAAAAATAATTGCATTATCGGAAAATGGTAGCATTCTAGATCCAGCAAAATTGGTGAAAGACCAAGCACAATGGTCATGGTTTATGACATGGTACGGTGAAATGATATTAGATGAAAAATGGAATAAAAAAAATTTAATTAAAACTGCTTTCAATCATGACTACGTTTCTAACAAAAGATGAGATTAAAATTTAATATATTTATAAAGAATAGCATATTATTTTCTCTAAATTGAGTTAGTTATGGAAGTTCTGTGAACATTAAAGCGTCTAATCATTTTTCCAAGCATATAAAACTTTTAAATAGCTGTTTGCAATGAGCGATACACAGTATTTTCAGTGTAACGCTACTTGTCGGTACAGACTAGAAGTTTGACAAACAAAAGTTACATGAAAGATCAATTGTGTACTGTGATGAAGAAAAATATAGGCGCATAGTGCATTAATATTAGAAATTTGTGAATATTCGAAATTTTAATAATATTCTGTTGATCTTCTAGTTCAAAATAACGAATTTTCATATAGCAAAACATGTAGATTCCAATTTCTGTTAAACGATATTAGTTCTAAAGTGAACTCACCGGTACATCTAGTAAAAATATCAAAAAATGTCAGCATCACTGAAGATCGACAGAAAGCTTGCAAAAACCTGGCTCCTCCAGGAAGTAAGTAAACTTTAAGTTTAGTTTCTTACTGTTAGATGATACAAGATTATGTTGAATTCTTGCGTATGTTTGTTTTTTGTCGACGTCAGCTGTTAAGTGGAGTACGAGCAAAAAAATACTTTTTCTGAAAAGTAGTATCTAAAACGAAAGCTTTTTCGCATTTCTAACATTCCAGATGGAATCCATTTTACAAGATCATGTAAGATCTCTCGTTTTCTTATAAAATCTTGTGACAAGCCAAGGTTTTACTGTATAATCTCGCAAGGTCTTAAGATCGTGGAAGAACCTTGTATTTTATCAACAGTTGCTGCCCAAGCTAGTTTAACCGGAAACTGCTGTCCAAAAAATCGACTTCGACCAGTCATAGGGTTATTTTCATCCGATTCAACATTTGTTCTTCCTATACATATACTGTTCAATTCTCTACAATGAACACATTCCTGTCTATGTTCAATACCTACTCGAGCCTCGTGTGATTTCAACACAATTTTTTCTACTGTTGTTCCATCGTCATTGTATACGAAAGCAATAATTGTACAAAAACTACCGTTTGCAAAACCATCAGGTATATTACTATTTTTTGTAATCATTACTTCGGCACCAATACCAAGTTCAAGAATGTCTAATGTAATACGATCTGATTTTGTGCTTGTTTTCTTAATTGGTGATATCGCAACTATATCTTTACAATGGTCTTTTAACATTTTCTGGTTATGCTCATTCATTTGATCATTTCGTGCAAAAATATGTAATGTCCGACTATCATAATGACTTCTTGAATATCGTTCATGATACTGTTTTAAAATGCACGATCTTGTTCAGAACAAGGTTCGTTTTTCTACTTTACACGAAGACGATTTAAAAATCCAAGAAATTTCGGAGCTTTACTGCGACGCATGTTTGTTTTCAATTCAACAAAAATCAAAATGATCTAGAAACAGATCGATATTGCTGTCATACAATCGTTGACCTATAACTGGGCACTGATCAAAATCACCGACAGCACTAACTCCTGTATCTCCAAAAAAAGACGAATATGAAGTAATAACCTTAATATTTTGCTGTCGATGAGAAACCGTTGGCTACGTACTATAATTCATAAGTGAGATTTCATCATCAAATTTTAATTTAATACTACCTAATTTTGCTCAATAGCTGTTTAATTTATCGGACGATAGCGGTTCATAGCTTTTCTTTATTTGTTTGCCTCGTCCGAGTCATTAGTGTGAACTAAGTGTCTAAAGACGAATTGACGAATCGCAATATTTGAGCGTAAAAATGATAAGGCGCCGCTAATTCAAAAGAATTGCAAGTTCTTATTTTTCACTTAAAACTATATCATTCGATGCAAAATTTCACGGTGATTACGAATATCACCTTTTGAATTGATTTTGATCCAGTTTTGGGG